TTAATCTTATTGTATATTAGGTAGTGGACAAGTGAAGAGCCACTATGTGGATATATTGTTCAATAAACCATTATTATTATTATTATTATTATTATTATTATTATTATTATTATTTGCGGCGGCCATTTTGGAGAAAGGACCGTCTATTATTAGGCATCTTTAGTTGATCATATCTATTTCGCGAGGCTGGTGTCCTATTCTTTTTAGTCTATATTTTGAAACATCACATCGCAATGATCAACCAGCGGGGAAAGTTTCAGAAAATTTCCATGTCAACTTTTATTTTGACGGAATCACCTTAAATTTTTGGCCAATCGTGTGCAACACATTTCCATAATTGAGGGTGCCGGACCTTAAATTTTAGGCGCGCGTACGAAATTTTAGGGATGCCGTGATTAAAACGTTTCAGCGCTTATTTATTTATGAAGAAAGAAAGTTGAGAACCATCGCGAAAGAAGGCGGCAAAGTTGTGGTTCCATTATTTTTGTTTTCATGTTCATTCTCAGATTCAATTGGTAAAACCAGAGGTCTATAACCTAGTTTGCAGTTTCAAAGCAAGTACAAACGCAAGTGCGTCAACTGACTCCGTTCACAAAAAATAACTGATAAATCGCGTTTACAGTTGAAGTGTGAACTAGGCTTGGACAAATTATTCCTAAACAAATGTTATTTTAAAAGTGTTTCCTGTAAAGAGGAAAATAGAAGTTTATAACACTCAGCTAACTAGCACAAATTTATTTTACAAACATCTGCTGTGCGGTACAGATTGCGTCAATGAATATTTTTACATTTATAAGCGTAATCGCCAGCCAGTTGCCCATACTGAACGGTGAATATTTACACAGATGTACTGTTTCCTGTTTTTCTAATGACTGTGTAAGAGCTTGAATTAATCATGACAGTTTAAGATCCTTAAACACACAAGTGTCCTCGTTTGATATTAAAGCTTTGTTTTGATGTTAAAATTTCCCCAATAACCCACAAACAAACAAACACGGCTTTTAACTGAATAACTTGTATCGAAAGACACACTCCATGTGCTACTCACAACCGCAATGAAATAAACGTTCACGGAACGTTACCTTCACTTCAACCGAAACGTTTTAGAAGTGAAATGTCAGTTGCAAAGCATACAATAGTTTGATTAGTATTAGTGTCAGAGGTTCACTCGTGATTAGCTTCGTGGATTGATGAAGTATCTTGTTTAACAGGATCTTGTCTTTTAATCTTGGTCAGTTCGCTTTGCAGTACATTGCTAAGTACCGCGGGGGAAGATTGAAATCTCGCCCGGCGTCTGAGCTTTTCATTATTTTCAGGGAGTTCAATCTTGGGTAGAGCTGAACTCTTTCGATGTTTCAGCGAGGCAGGGAATTCCGGGCTCTTGTCATGTCTGTATGGTACAGGCCACACAACAAGGCCTTGTTCAGTCGCCTGCAGTGGAGGCAAACGTTTCAATTCAAGGAAACTCATAGGTGATCTTGATGGACACTCGGAGTGTCTTCGCTGATTAAACCTTTCTTCTCGCGGTTTCCCCGTGTTAGCGAGGAAGTCTCCTTTATCGGCAACATGTGTAACAACATCGCTTCTCACACTCAGTCTGTTTCCGCTGGTTTTGCCAGGATCTATTGCCTTAAGCTCTCGTCGCAACGAAACAAGATTTCGTTGAATATTTCGCATTTCTCGCTGCTCTTCTTTCGCAAGGTTTCCCAGCGTGTGTCCAAGTCTTTCCTTTTCTCGCTCATTCTTTAGTTTGGCCTCGACAACATTTTTGATAAGTTTACGACGTAAAACTTGTGCTTTTTCGTCATTCTCATCATCTTCAGCGACTATCATGACTCAATAGCACTCCAGCGAGTATCTACTACCACCATATCCAAAAGTGCTGCAAAACGGATGTATTAAATTAATTGTGTTTATCGTGATCTAGTGTATCAGTAGTACCACAACACTGAGCCAAGAACTTCCAAAAAATGTAAATCATTTATTGTGTTTTTCACTGAGCAAATCAATAATTAATTTGTTGCTACCACTGTTTTTAAATGAATCTTGTTTTGCGGTTTCTTGTTGAAAAAAACACTCGAGAAAGCGTGTTTGTTAGGACATGATTTGAAAAGGACGGAGTTTCTCCACTATTTAACCTTTTAGAGAGTTTCTCGGGTTAACAGAACAGATAATAATTTGGCAACGGTTTCATGAATAAGTAACAAGAACCAGATTTCATACCATTGAGGAGAAAGTAAACATAGGCTGCAGGTGCTTCACAGATTCATAACACAAACTGGCCAATGAGATATTTTAATTTACAATGGCTGTTTTTATACTAAAGACGCATAATCTGGGCAAGCCATGTTTAGTGTGATAACACGGCGCTCTATTGCCTACGTCTTCCTGCACATACCGTACCGGACGAATTAATTAAAACGCGTTTTAAACAGAGGCACTGAACATTGCCGTTGTCCAAGTTCGTCCAGGCAGATTCTACTGAGTATGAAAAAGAGCGAAAATCAATTGAATAGTCCATAAAAGCAGCAGATATTTCAGCCTCGTGCTATACGAAAACAAATTTGCAGAAAGCAATCACGCTAAAGCCAATTTCAAGATTAGTAACAAAATGTTTTCGAGTTTTTTTTAGTTTTCTTATAAAACGTTATGTCTTCCTGTGTTAAAATAGAAATACTACTACCGGTATATATCAATTTTCATAAGTTGACCCAGAAGCCCCAAAAATGGCAGAAATGAGAAATAATGTACCCAGAAAGTTTTAGAAAATTACCTTTTGAATATTCTTTAAAAAATATATTTATCCATGAATTGGTGTGAAACATCTGAGGAACTTCGCCTCATTTTACAATGCTCGTTGACGAACTTTAGAGTTTCTTGTTGTCCAATCACATTGTGGAGTGCAGAGTGATAATTCATCGCGAATGGTGCGACGTCAGTTTGCCAAATAAGGATGGGCCATGTCCCTTTAGCCTCATATAGACCGTGGAGTGCACGTGATATGACGTCACAAATTCTCAAGCGGACTAACATCAACAGTAAGAGGAACAACACAAAACAAATGCAACATATACTTATTTTATTTTGCTTGGCCTCTACTCTACATATTGGAGCTTCAGTGACTCATATCCTATTTGATTGTGTGATATACATTAATTTACAACCATTTACTTGTTCTTTACATGTGGTTATGTGGATAAATAAACAATTACAATATACCCCAGAATATACCCAGTGTTGAATTGTAGAACCTCAGTTTTTCGACTGTTATGTGCATCGGTAACATTTGTACAGTCTTCAACTGCGACTTTAATTACTACCTTTAGCTACAAGCTTGGATACTAACTTACTTCATAGACATTTTTCAGTTTCTTTAAAACATTTTGGCAATCTCGTTCCCAGAGTCCTCGACTCCTCGACTCCTCGTTACCCTTGTCCAGCGGTGAAGCGGCCAACAAGGAGCTCTGGGGTGAAGCGATCCGCCATGACAGGATTCTTTGACTTCCGGTTGTACTGCGCATGTGTTCGACCCCATGTTTCAACTAACGGACGCCAAGATTCTTGGACTTCCGGTCTTACTGCGCAAACCAGGCGGATCACTCTATCTCTCTCCACCGCTGGACAAGGGTAACGAGGACTCTGGGAACGAGATTGACATTTTGGCAAAGTTGATATTAAAAGGGAAGCCCGTAAAGTTCTATGTTCTATGTTTTTGTTCACTTTTTCGCCCTTGACCGTGCACAAAACACAATAGGTTTTGAGTTATTCCCGAGTAACTAACCAATAGAAACGTTTCGGTTACGTAATTCAACATTGCGTGTGAGCACAAAACAAAAGAGTGCGACATGGTCGTGGACCTTCCGACATAAATCTTGGCATCTTTGTTTACTTATTTGAAGTTTGCCGGCCTTCATAACCATTCGCCTCTATTAACTATGATTTTGGTGATCACATAGAGCTCTACTAAGCCGGATACCATAGCTAACAACAAATGATAGATCACACACTGGAAGAGAACCAACCAATGAAAGCTACGGGAACAATGTTATCTTTAGGTAAAAGTACATGGTGGCACAACCCTAACTACATCCATGAGTTACCGAAATGACGATCACCATTCTAAACAAACTCCATGCACGCATTCTGGCGACTCGAACATTTTATCGTGAACTTGACAAGATAAGAGTCTAGAAATAACTTATTACATAACAACAGAACTAATTCTAGAAAGCGAAATAAATAAACAATAAATCAAGTAATCAGTTTTATTTCTCGAAGGCTGCACTCTTTATTCCAATCAAATTCTTAGGTATTAAATCACGTAAGGGTAATTTTGAATCTGAACTTGAGACTAACTTAACTGGGTTTCTATAGACATTTTTTATTTCCATAACTTGCCAACCACAAGTACCCATGCCCCACTCTGGAACTTAGACAATCAGAGGCGTGAGTAGGCTATTTATAGACTGACAGAATTTCATCGAAAAAAATAGAAAGCTATCAATAGACAAAAGAAAAACGATAGAACATGTGATAAACAGTAAATTATTTAAAGAGAGAACATTTTGTATTCCATTTACCATACTTTTCCCGCTGATTCAGTCACTATATGTTTAGATACTGAACAGGGAGCCTTTGATCCGTTAAAAGTGTACAACAACTGTGTCTACTCTAAAAATAATCTGCTGTTATCTACAATATGTCAGTTGTGTCCACACTATAAAATATTCTACTGTCTTCTCTTATCTTACTTCCATTTGGGAGTGAAATTACCAAGAGATTTAAAACAAAATAAAAATAAATAACTGATAAACAACTTTATTTAAGTGTCAGAGGATTTAGCACTGCTGTACTAATTGTGGACACTGTAAATGAACAAACAAATATTGTAAATAGAACATAAACTAAGAATCCCAACTGGTGGGAGGCTGTCCAGTTGGCTATTTACAAAGCGTGGTCGAGGAGTTGAACTCGGGACTACCGAGATCAAATCCAGCTAGTGGCAAGGTGGAGGATTTGAACCAGGGACGGCTCCAGATTTCAAATCCAGTGCCATAACCACTCGGCCGCGCCGCCTCCCAAGCAATACGTATATGTTATTTATATTTGGCGAAGCTTAATAATAATAAAAAATACCGTAAAAGCTCCTTTACGCCCCCCTCCCCCCGCCTAGAGGGGAGGGAAGGGGGTAGGTGGCGCGGGCGGGGAGGGATGGGGGATTATTTCAAATCCTAAATCAGCTCTAACGTACATTAACGCTTATTTCTGTCAAATGACAAAAATAGTACAACCTCAAAATAAGACTGGCACGACAGCAAAATGATAGATCTATTGGCCAATATTTCAACTAGCAGAACTATTTTTTCTCAAAATAATTATTTTCCTGTTCACAAATTGTCTTGGTTTAGCGTCTTGGGAGAGGGGGCGGGGCTATTACAGGGGTGGGGTGGGGAACAGAGGAGAATGCTTAGTAGAGCTTTTACGGTAATAATCGATGCAATTGACGCCATAATTCACCAGTGTGTATTGTTGATATAGAGCATGCGCGGTGCACAACACTGACACGGGCTTCCCTCAGGCTGCTGGTGCTCAGGTCCCCGGTATGTCAAGGGCGGGGGATTGGGTAGAGAAGCATTGGTGATGGTGACATCACAGGCTCTGGATGAGTTCCATTTGTCATCTTAAGTTCTTTACGCCATTTAAATCGTCTGTTCTTGAACCAGGTCTGAGGAAACATGATCAGGAATTAGTAAAGAAGAATGAAGTAAAAGGAATGGTCAATTCTAGAACTTGGTGGAAGTTAACCACTGAAAGCACTCCAAAGAGAAATCAGTACTAGGGAATTTAAGCAAACCACAACGACAGCGGCAACGAGAACGTCGCTAAACAAAAGCTAAAGGATTAACTAGCAGTACAACAGCTCTGCACGTGCGTAATATACACTTGGTACATTTCTTAGCCGTCCTCTGTCAAACAACAACGTGAAATCACCAAAAAATGACTGAGTTTTCCGGAGAACGTGAACCGCAACGGCGAATTTTTCAAGTTTCTCTTAGGATTTGAACGCTGCCTTTACATATTCAGCTGAGGAGACAAGAGAAAATGAATTTTATTCGTCAAAATAAGTGATAACATTTACCTGCACAATAACAGGAGAGAGTCCAAGTTTGAAGGCCAGAGCGTTTCGTTCATCACCATTTAAGTACAAAGATGAAAGGAACGAGTTCTCAAGGGCAACTTTCTGGTAAATAGAAAATCGCGTGCGTACGATCTTTGACTTTTGATCATGAGCAGCAGGAGTCGTGTGTTCAGACTGTAATAACGAGTGTTCTGGAATAAAATAACAACAATTAGTAAAAATCTACTAGTATACTAATGCAAATGAAACAATCTGATTGGCTGAGCTATTCGTATACTATCAGCCATTAGTGTGCAGTGGCTGGAGTCGTCTACAAAATTACGGTTTCTTTGCGTTTCTCCGAAGTTTTGGAGGAGAATTTGGAGTTAATACTAGACAATTGTTGTGATTTTTACTAAAACAATTAGATTATGCGGTCTCATCAACCATCACATCATAGAAATTGAGAGCGAATTTGTCTTGCTTCAGACTGGTTAATGGGCAAATACCTAACACTCATTAACACTAAAGTGTCTTTCTTCAGATATCAAACTTCTTGACGTGCATGCCCCGTTGCTGTTGAGAACAGTTGAGCTTTCCCCTTAACCAGTCAATTCACAGCTCACTGCTCTTCCTGTTCTCGTTTTAACTGTTACTGAGGGTCAGAATTGATCGAAAGATTGAACAAGTCATCATTAAACTAGTAATTTTCTCGGTTGCCGTAGGTTGCCCAGGTTTTTGTCACAATAATGGAGTATGTAATTTTAAACCAATCAGAATACTGCGGAGGAATTAAAAAAACAATGACTCACGTGCAGGCTCTCTCTTTCTTACCCCTTTTCCCTCGCCGACTCGTAACTCGCAGCTTTGCCGTTCGATCGAGACCCAACCACCGGTCTTTCTCTTCATCAAAACATAATTGAAACTATCAAATCTTCAGAACGGAAATTTATCTTTCAGATCGGTACCTTGGCTCCCCATGGTATCAACAAACAGTGCGCTTTTCGTTGTCGTTACTGTACACGCTAATCTCCTGATTTGCTCCGTCCAAGACTGGGCTCACGCTCAGAATCAGGCCAGTTTGATGAAATGAACTGTTTCACTTGTCTGCCAACGCTGGACTACAGTTTCTTTAAAAAATGAATCGATTTTTAACCCCTGGAAGGTTAAAAAGTGAGGCTAATGCATCGCATGGCGCGAAAAGGACCGAGGTTAAAAATCGAAATGCTTTTTCTTTTACATGGGTTAAATAAATAAAATTGGCTTTTTAGTCAGTGCTACAACAATGAACATCTATCGTTTTATTTAACGGAATTTGTGTTTAAGTTTCGTTTTCAAATGAAGCATAATCTTTGGAGCGACTTTGAATCAATATTCCGCGCATTTTGGTATTTTTCGATTCGTATGCACTCTTACAACATATACCCTTTTCGTAATTTTAAACATTTACTTACCCTTCTCTGCCAATATACTTTGCGCGCATTCTGGCATCGCTTCTTCAACTCTCGAGGAAAGAGAGTTTCCGGGAGATAAACTGAATTTCTCTGCAGAATTGTTGGTCATAATGCCTGCTCCTTACTTCGGATCTAATCCCAGCTTTGAATGAAAGTTTCACTTCACAGTAAAGTAGAAAGGCTATTTGTCATTCATTGGCTAGTTGATCACTTACGTATGAAAAAATAAGAATGTTTATGTTATTACGTCATACGTAATACAGGAAAATAAAATTGATTGTATTTGAAAATTCGAAATCACAGTATTTCAAATAACAATTATTGAAAATTTTTTAATACAGAGATATCATTCAGATTTCTGAAAAATTTATATTACAGTGAAATCGTACAGATTTAGTTCCGATTTCCGAGTTGCTTTTCTGGTCACAACCCTCCTTCTGTTTTGTTTTGTTGTTGTTTTTCATGTTCCATTCATTGTTAGTGTATTACGTCATTCGTTAATTAAATGGATTATAACCGACCAATCATATGAGGTCGCTGTTTTTTCATCTCTACAGCCACAGAAATGTTCTCGACCATGAACTGATCCTCAATTTTTTATTTTCTACACTGACCCCGAACTGATCCTCAAGTAATTTGATCGTGGAATAACTAAAATAAACGAAATTGAAGGAGTTTGGATTTTGAACCGTCACAATTTTCACATATTTTTTCACGTAAAATAATTCTAAACATGAACAACTTCCTCAACCCTCATCCAGATCAAAGTGGTCCGGTGGGCATCTCGTGGATGTTTCAGATTATTGCTACCGTCGCGAGGGAACCTGGAGCGACCGAGCAAGGCAGCAGTTCTAATCCATACAGTGGGTGGAAATCCCCTAGATTCCATTTCGCTTCATTTCAATTTTTTTAAATCAAAATACATAACATTGATGCATGCATTTATTGCCTTTTTTACCACAATGCATTGCATGCTGGTGTCAGTTGTAGCTGGAAGCAAGATGATAACTGTTCTCTGATGGTTTCTTGTGAAATAATTCGTCGTTTGTTAAAATTTGTCAATGAGTTCGCGGCTTGTTAAAATCAACGTTTATATCCTTCGTCTATCATTAGAAATTATTGTACGCGGACCTTTTGAAAGCAGTTGTATTTCAGTAATAGCTGGAGGCAAGGCAAGCTAACTCAGATTTTGTACGTGTAAGATTAACGGAATAATGTGTGGCTTTTTAGATTGCGCGAGAAATACAGGCGAATGCTATATTATTATTTCCGTGAATTGACCTTTGACAGTTTTGCATATCGGTTTCTCACTTTCGTGAAGTCAAGTCCCTTTGTTTTGACTGTATGGAAACGCCTGGCTGTGCATACTAAGTGAAAGGCAGCATCCACTACCTGTTTTGGTACACTAGTCAGATCATTACAGTACATACAGCAGTGGTATCAGCTTCGTGCCTTCAACTTGTATGACAACTGCTACTTTTATTGCAACAAATGCTACTTTTATTGTATGGACAATGGAACAATTGATTAACTTTGACCTGTAACCACAAACAGGAAATTATATCGAATACGAACCGTTATCACTGGAGTGTCCGAAGTTTAGTGTCCGTAATAAAGAGGTTAAGTTTATATGAATTTGCTCTCTGGGGCCGAGATTTAGTGTCCAGATTGGGGTAGTGATAACTGCAGCACTGCAAATGTCCTCTTGACTTGCAGCAGTTTTAGTGATGTTTAGTGCATGATAATATGTAGTTTATTACATTTATGGTTGAGTCTTATTACATTCATTTCATGGTTATTCAGTTTATTACAATTAATGTGAGTGTGGGGTTATCACATTTATGTTTTTTATTACATTTATGGGTGATACAGCGTTTACCCCAGAATGAATTCCAATACAAACATTGTAACTTTTATTTATGATACTATAAATCATGTACAATAAAAAAGGTTTTACCCATCAACACTCTTATTTATACTTTGCAAGACATTTTATGTGTATGTGCACTGGTCAATATTTCGTCAGTAAATCACTTCATGTTGGACGTTGTGAAGTGTCTAATCATCTCAATTATCTTGCCAAGTGTAAGTACTGTATGCCTATAAACACCGGACATAATAGTGCTTTGTTTATGTTTATGTTTACTTTACTTTTTTTTTACTTTAATAGTTTAACAATACAAAAGATACAAGTACTGAAGGAAAAACTCTTCGCCCAGTCGCCAAGTTTGTACGTGATCTTGTAGTTCCGCCCAAAACCGAGTTCGGAGGCTTTATATTTCTGTTGTCTTGAAGTTTTTACGTTTAAACACCATGATTCTTTATTATACAATCGAGTAAGTTGATTTATGACGATTTTGTATACTAGTATCTCTTCAGAACATGCTACCCATCTGTTATGGAATAATCGGAATGTTAGACTTCCTTAACTTAGTTTTTTCTTTGTATTATTTTCCTTGGTGTATTACGATATGATCTTGAACTCTTGGCCTCGTTGTAATAAA